GCATCTAGGCGCAGTTTAGCGCGTATCGGCTTATGATATCCTTTTCTTCTGTTTGTTTTTTAACGTTTGACCTGTTATTATTTTATTTTATTTATTGCGCACTGCATATTATTCTTTGTTTGGTTCATTAATTCGCAGATTTCATTGCACCACAGGTACCCTCGATCTCAGTTACCATCGTCCTTGCGCAATTGTTAATTTTGCTCCTGATTTGTCCTCCCTATTACTTTTACTACCTACATGTACCTCCTCCTTCCCCACCCTTTTTTTAACTCCATTATCACGTTCGCTTCCATGTAATTGGGCATGTAGCCTGTGTGTACTTGCGAATTCAAATAAAAATATACGTACATGAGTCCACAAAGGATGAAACAGTTCTGTCCGCAGATTGAGTATGTCATATTATTATTATACATACATGTACATACATACATACATACATACATACATACAATGTACATGTACATACATACATACATACATACATACATACATACATACATACATACATACATACATGTACATACATACATACATACATACATACATACATACATACATACATACATACATGTACATACATACGTGTACATACATGTACTTCAAAAGAAGTACATGTATGGAATGGATGCGGCCATGGAGTCGTATACGACTCCCTGGATTCGGCTAATGAGGTTTCTCGGCACTTGTGCCAGTGGTTGTGAGACGTATCCGGTGCTGCCAAACCCTCCCATACTGGCCAACCCTCCCGTTTTTCCCGGGAAAATCCGGAAAATCAACACTCCTCCCGGGTCCCAGGCATTTCAAGCAAACTCCCGGAAAAACCACAGTTTTGTCTGATACAGGATTTTCCTGAAAACTCCGTGGTTTTCCCCGAATGTCCCGGTTTTTTGAACTTTTTTCAAAGGTATGTACGGTGCTCACTCGCACTTCGAACTGTGCACAGCACATTCACGACCTGGCCATGCCTAGCCTGCAAGATCTGCACTGACAAAGGTACAGGCGGGCGCCGACTCGTCAAACTGCACTACAGGGTCGAACTGTGCTGTACGCAGAGCTGCAAATCTGCAGAGTCGAACGTTTTTGGGGCGAGAAAAGCTCTTTTTCACTTGTTTTTGTGCCATCCAGGATTTTGAGAGAAATCCAGGGATTCTGCATGTATTGTCAAGGGATTGAGATCTTGGTGGTTGGTCAGTATGCCCTCCGATTTTCCCGACAGTGTCCGAATTTTGAAGGCTCTTCCGAAAACCGGTCCGAAAAAGGATATGTCGAAAACGCAGCCAAAATGTCAGGGGTCAGTATTCCCTATGCAGAAGTCCTGTTTTTCGCTTTTGAGCGCATAAAAAGGCGAATACAGTACATGTACATTCATGAATTGCAGATTCACAAAGTGTTAGTTCATGACAACTTCTGGGCGCCATGTTGGTAACCATGGCAATGAAGCGGATTTTCTTCGTATTTTGGGCGATTTCGGATTCTCTGAAAAAATTGCGGTAAATGGTGTCAGATTTTGGGCGAAAATTATTTTGGCAGCACTGCGTATCCCCACACCCCCGGGGCCCACCATTGCATCTGCTGCCATGCCAGGGTTTAGTTACTAAACTGGCAAGTAACAGTTGTTGTATGTTGTATGCTGTAGTAGATTATCTTGTGTACGTCGTGTCTGCGTTGTGTGGACGAATTGTTGGTGCATGCGCGTGTTGCTGTGGTTTGAAAAGCAGTCTTCGTCTTCAGTTCGCCATGTCCAGTTGTGTTTCGTCGTCATGTCGATAAAGCCTGTCCAAAACGCAATTATCTCGTCGTCTTGTACAGGTGTGGCAATGGCACGGTGCTGGGATCGGGAGAGAAAGTCCAGTTACAACAATTACATCATCATCATGCCAATGTACATCATTATGACCTCACCGTGACCAATCGTTGACATCAACCGGCAGCTCGGAGTTGCTGAGTTTCTTGTCGTAGTGGACGTGGCGCTCTACTTCCTCCTCATATTCCCCTTCGTCGCTGCTGCCATACTGCCGCTGTTGTTGCTGCACCCCACAGCACATGTACGCGGGCACATACACACACACAAATGCACACACACACACATTGCACACACGCAGGCATGCATACACACACACACACGCACCACACACACACACACACACACACACACACACACGCACACACACGTCGCACACACAAACACACGCACGTAGCCACACATGCACGCACACGCATGTTGGACATCAGAAACTGAGAATACAAAAGTCCTTCGCCCAAACTACAAAGTAATGGAAGTAGCTTACACGGAATGCATCCCCGGCCCTGCAACTGGCAGTAGTAAGTAGTACAGTGTAACATACCATAGATGTGTGAGGCTAAGGTCTACTAGAAAGTAGGAAGACAAGAACACTACTGCACGACAGCTCAGTGGTTAGAGCATCTCTGGCCTCAAGCCAAGGTCCCTCGTTCAACTTCTGGTGGTGACAGTCAATTTTTCTTCAGACTTATCCCGTTTTCATCTTCCCCTAAAACTTGTGAACAAGGACAAAGACTAACATGTACCCGCGATGAGGTTGGACCTGGGCTTATACAGTGAAACCTGTAACTAAAGACCACCGTGATTAGCGGCCAGCCTGGTACTACAGACCACTTTGCCAGGCACGGACGGTCTCACATTCATATTATGGTTGTGCGCTGTGAAACTCTAACTAAGGACCACCTGCCACTAAAGACCGCATTCTCTGGCCCCAACGGGTGGTCATTAGTCACAGGTTTTACTGTAATGGTTGTGCGGTGCAAACCTCTAACTAAGGACCACCTGCCACTAAAGACTGCATTCTCTGGCCCCAACGGGTGGTCATTAGTCACAGGTTTTACTGTACATGCAACGACGCAGAAGCAATAGACCCATTGTGCATTGCCAAATATAGAAGGTATGAGTAATGCTTGTGATTACGCTGGGATCAGGAATGCACTGTTCAACACCCTAGACAACCATGCCCAGGTGGCTGAGAAGGGTGTTCATGGTACAAATTACGTCATTGCGCAATGGGCTTATAGTGAATGATGCGGACACACTTTATGAGGCGCTACCGCAGCGACTGAGATGGCATGGTTACGACGCACACCGGCCGGCGACATGCCCTTGTCACCTCCAGCGCTGGCAGCGAGAGAGAGAGAGAGAGAGAGAGAGAGAGAGAGAGAGAGAGAGAGAGAGAGAGAGTGAGAGAGAGAGAGAGAGAGAGAGAGAGAGAGAGAGAGAGAGAGAGAGAGAGAGAAAGAGAGAGAGAGAGAGGAGAGAGAGGAGAGAGAGGAGAGAGAGGAGAGAGAGGAGAGAGAGGAGAGAGAGGAGAGAGAGAGAGAGGGACAGAGAAGAGAGATGGGAGAGAGAGGAGAGAGAGGAGAGAAAGGAAAGAGAGAGAGGAGAGAGAAGAGAGAGAGGAGAGAGAGGAGAGAGAGGAGAGAGAGGAGAGAGAGGAGAGAGAGGAGAGAGAGGAGAGAGAGAGAGAGAGAGAGAGAGAGGAGAGAGAGGAGAGAGAGGAGAGAGAGGAGAGAGAGGAGAGAGAGGAGCGAGAGGAGAGAGAGGAGAGAGAGAGAGAGAGGAGAGAGAGAGAGAGAGGAGAGAGAGGAGAGAGAGAGAGAGAGGAGAGAGAGGAGAGAGAGGAGAGAGAGGAGAGAGAGGAGAGAGAGGAGAGAGAGGAGAGAGAGGAGAGAGAGGAGAGAGAGGAGAGAGAGGAGAGAGAGGAAGAGAGGAGAGAGAGGAGAGAGAGGAGAGAGAGGAGAGAGGGGACAGAGAAGAGAGATGGGAGAGAGAGAGAGAGGAGAGAAAGGAGAGAGAGAGAGAGAGAGAGAGAGAGAGAGAGGAGAGAGAGGAGAGAGAGGAGAGAGAGGAGAGAGAGGAGGAGAGGGAGAGAGAGGAGAGAGAGAGAGAGAGAGAGAGAGGAGAGAGAGGAGAGAGAGGAGAGAGAGGAGAGAGAGGAGAGAGAGAGAGAGAGGAGAGAGAGGAGAGAGAGGAGAGAGAGGATAGAGAGGAGAGAGAGGAGAGAGAGAGAGAGAGAGAGAGAGAGGAGAGAGAGGAGAGAGAGGAGAGAGAGTAGAGAGAGTAGAGAGAGGAGAGAGAGGAGAGAGGAGAGAGAGGAGAGAGAGGAGAGAGAGAGAGAGAGAGAGAGAGGAGAGAGGAGAGAGAGGAGAGAGAGGAGAGCGAGGAGAGAGGGAGAGAGGAGAGAGAGAGGAGAGAGAGGAGAGAGAGGAGAGAGAGGAGAGAGAGGAGAGAGAGGAGAGAGGGGACAGAGAAGAGAGATGGGAGAGAGGAGAGAGAGAGAGAGGAGAGAGAGAGAGAGGAGAGAGAAGAGAGAGAGAGGAGAGAGAGGAGAGAGAGGAGAGAGAAGAGAGAGAGCAGAGAGAGGAGAGAGAGAGGAGAGAGAGAGGAGAGAGAGGACAGAGAGGACAGAGAGGACAGAAAGGAGAGAGAGGAGAGAGGAGAGAGAGAGAGAGAGAGAGAGAGAGAGAAGAAGAAGAAGAAGAGAGGGTTGCTACTGCACTGCATTTGGCCCCACCGCCATCCGTACATTCACCACATCACATTCATGACCTCATTATCTTAGTGCATCGTTTTCTCCGAAAAGTTTCGGTATGCATTCTATCCCAGCTCAACGTGGACCATGTCACGTAACCGTTTGGCAAAGCTTGGACATCTGTGGGAGCAAGAGCAGAACTGGCGTTTCGAGTATTTCGTGTTCTTCGACGAGGACGTATTACTGGCGTATCGCACACTGGAGAACCCTCACAGAGTTGTAGTTGACTTTGCAAATGACTTTGCAAATGACGAATTGATGATGCAGCAGTGTGCGCATGCACGCACGCGTGCATGCACGCATCTAGGCGCAGTTTAGCGCGTATCGGCTTATGATATCCTTTTCTTCTGTTTTTTTTTTTTAACGTTTGACCGGTTATTATCTCAAAGTTTGGAGACTCCACTGTAGCCAATACTTGAATCCATACATCCTGTACACACACCTTGTACACACTCTCTCTAATGGTCTCTAGGCTACACTGCAATTGATATACATTAGCTCAAATTTTCGGGCAAGGCCCATCATCAGGAATAAGTCTACTGTAGACAGAACAGGGGTTTATATATATGGAACAAGTACTAGTGGCCAAAGGTGTGATGGTATAGCGTAAAATGTTGCAATACCTCAGGAAGCGAGATTATAATTCTGTGTGATATGTATGAAGTGAAAATATAGTGCAGTGATAGTGCAGGATCACTAGCGTGAGTACAACGCAGAAAAATACACACTTCTAGCAACACTCACACACATACATACACACACACACACACACACACACACACACACACACACACACACACACACTACTACTACTACTACTATGTACAGCTTACCTATCGGGCCCCGCCGCTCCCAGAAGCGGGAGACAACGACAAGAAGAGAGAAGAGAAGAGAGAGAAATCGCAAAGTCAACAATATTTGGCATGGCGTTGCAAGTCCTGTGGCCTTGAGAACCGTCTTTCGCAATGCTCGCATTCATGACGGCAGTCGTTCCTGGCTGCACGTGACATCCGTTTCGCACGGTCACAGTGATGACGGCTCAAACCAGAACGGGAGCAGAAAGAGCGGCGACAAACATCACATCGAAAAGAGTCAGATTCATGGCGAATAGATACAGTGGGGACATCCGTGGACACAGGACAGCGATGCACAGCCAGTCCTCCAGCGCTCCTCAACCACCGCATGCACTTCATACATTGCCTGGCACCCTTCTGTTGTGACACAGGCAACTTCCGCTGGGCAATGCACTTGTGTCGGGCCATGTCGTTACGGCGGCGGAAGTCTCTGGCACACAGCAAGAAGCGCAAAGGTGGCGAATCATCTGTGTGCGGTGGTGGCTCAGCAAAGAACATCCTCCAGTTCTGCCGGTCTTGGGCATTCTGAAACCAGGAATCCACGCCAGCTGCCTTCATGTCTCTTTGGACAACGTCTTTCCAGCGCCGCCGGGGACCACAAGGAGGGTGACGACCACTCAACCTTCCAAACAAAATCTGGACGGGAGCACGGTCTGCAGGCATGCGCGCGACGTGCCCGAGCCATTCCAACCGCCGACGCCGAACAAGGTCTGACACCGGTGTAGTGTCACCCAAGCGCACGGAGCGTTGCCGATGAGATTTTCTCCTCCCATTGCTGACGCAGAGATACACATAAGATGGAGCGAATGCACCGGTGGTGAAAGTTGTCCAGCAGATCCAAGTCGTGCCGAAGAGGAGCCCATGACTCAGCACCGTAGAGTAAAACCGACAACACAGGCTGTGTACAAATGACGCTTTGTTGCCACCTTCAAGCTGGCCTCCCGGAACACTGGTAGGAGGCAGCCAAACGCCTTTGCCGCATTGGCAATCCGTTGCTGGATGTCAGGTGAGGATCGGGTGTCTGGCGTGATGAGGGAGCCCAAGTACACAAACGATTCAACATACGAAATGCTGTCGCCACCCATGTCCATCGGCATCCTGTCCTCCGGGGAAATACCAACACCAACTACCATGAATTGTGTTTTCGACGAACTGACGGACAAACCAAACGAGGATGCAACACGATGAAAAGTCTGAAGCGACTGCTCAGCCTCAGCCCGACTCATTGACAACAAAACGGCATCATCTGCAAATTCAAAGTGCGCTGTGGGTTGGCTACCCCTCGCACTTTGCTCTAGCTTTAGCCCTTTGTCCAATGACACACACACACACACACACACACACACACACACACACACACACACACACACACACACACACACACACACACACACACAGTGCACACATTCTTGCACAAATTATGGTAATGACAGACATATTTACACATCACCCAACAGTCGCCAACCATTGTCACTGTTCACTGCCGGCTTCCTCTTCCTCATGAATAGTGCCTCCATGATTCTGCGGTCAACGTATGACCGTTGCCTGCTGGCGAGAACTTGCAGATGGGCGAATGGTGAAAA